CAGTTCATGTGAAAATCTTCAGTAGGTTCCACTCAGGATAGAACCCATTCATGATGCTGAGTTTCCCTTTCGCAAAACCTCATCAGAAGGGGCACCTTGAAATGGATCAAAAAACCGTTGAAAGAGAAATAAGTGGCCCTTTGAACACATCAGTGAACACATAGGTGAGGTCTTCTGTATCCACATTTACATTTTTCACACATTACCATATGCTCTTCGCACATTGTTCACCTCTTATTCAGAATCTTGGCCACCACTCAAATTCTCTCACACCTTTCTTAAACTACATGACTGTATGTGTTTTATATTTTTATGTACACTTATGTATTTAGGCAAGCCAATACCCCCCTTTCAAAGAGATGCATTTACCTGAGGGAGGTCTACCTCCCATTCATTGTGCATGTATAACTGAAAGCTAAGGTGGGTTATTGTTTTCATGTCTTGGGAAGAATAAACTTCTTAAATGTTTTACAAGACTTTTATTTTGGCACTGGGACAGGACCACCTTGTGTTTTTCAAGTCTCTAAAATATGAAATTGTTGATTCATTTTGGTTTCTGAAGGCATTTATTTTTAACAGCAACACGAGGTAGTCTCAGCACTGTGATGTACTACATGCCACAGCAGATTCAAGGTAATGAGCATGTTTGAAATGGAGGCCACTAGTAACAAGGAGATCCTTAAATTGGGGAAAACAATGTCTAGTTCAGAGCCAAAAGCCATTGTCTTATTAGGAACCAACACCATCTGTTGTTTCAAAAAATTGTTCAAAGTGGTAATAAGTGAAAGAAGTCGCTGAGTTTTTAAAAGATGAAGTTTAAAGTGACTCTCTTGTGCAGCAAGTGAACCTTAGATGAAAAGGCCCACTGGGGTGGAGAGAAAGGTAAGTTTTCCACATGACTGTACATATTTTTAATAAATAAACTAAGATCATTTATTCTTCCTGTGTCCCAATGGCCACCTCACTGCCACCTTGCAGTTCAATTTGCAGAGACTCTGTGACATGTTATTTTTATCTTCGTAGTACAAACATAGAGCAGCACAAGGCAGCAACAGAAATGCAAAATTACTGCTTTTCTAACCCAGATATTCAAAGTTAAAAGGTGTCTGGGGCTTGCTTTGATTGGAAACACACTATCCATTTTGGCCAGCTGCAGGAGGCATGACAGCAGCAGAGCCAGGAGAAGCTGTCGGTTTTCTGACTTCTTAGATGTCTCGTACACTGGAACCAAATAATTCCTCCCCTTGCAAGCCACCTCTTCCCTCAGTGTCACATTTGTCTGCACATAGAGAGTAGATTAATATTTGAAGGCAAGTTAACCCTTTCATTTTATGTCTGTACAATGATTAAACAGGCTCCAGGGCTTTAGTGACTTTGAAATTGATATTCGTTGGGTTTATAAGACATCAGACTAGCATTTACCTTTGGTCAACCAGACCAATAGATTAGGGTGATTGAAAAACCAGAAAAAAGGAAAAAAGCTGAATTTACCATTCAATCCATTATTTTCAAAAACCAAAAGTGTTTAATCTCAGCCTCAGCAATCCTATGGATTGAGTAAGTCAGTCCACTCAGTCTTTAGCTTGGAGTTGGAATCCACCACTGTAAGGTGAAAAGGCCCAGGTGACATTCTTACATATCAACAAAATTCAGTTCCAGGACAACTCACAGCCTGCACCATTCATGTCCATCTTGCACAGAAGTAGAAATAGACTTTTACTGTGCAATATCACCACATTCCCCGACCAAATTAACTGCAAACCACACTGTCTATGGCTATGAATCCTCTTCTTACAGAAAGCAGGAAGTTCCCAGAGAAAATGAAGAGAATTAGCTTATTTTACTTACTGCAAAGATGAAATATGTTCTTTTTCTTCGAGCATCATAAGTATGTGTGGGCTGACTCCTGACTATGAACATTCAATTCCTTTATAATTACACTTTTTTGCAATCATGCTGGGCCTTAGCTCAAAATATTTGGATTTACATATGATGTACAAAGGGGAGCTTTCCACACAGAAATATTCCAATTATATGCGATGCCTGTCTCAAATAGGTGGTATGAAAGAAGGTGGGAAGTAGCTGTGTCTTGTTTTCTTGAGATTTATTTTACCCGTTGGTCTAGTTCATCATCAAGCTTCTATGTGCAAAGAAAAAATTTGTTTTCAAAGTGTGTATGCCACCTGGTGAAAGGGCACCTTCTAGCTAATAAATTTTAGATCAAAACTATATGTAGCCTCTTGTTGAGAGGAGTTTTTCAGATGAGCGAAGGTAATCTATTCCTTTAAAATAACCTTTGACCCAAGTCGCTGGGTCTATGAAGACAGGTTCAGAATGCCAAGTTCCCATATAGCACTTGACTTTGTCATTTTGTCCTCATCTGGTTGACTTTGACCCCAAACTCAAAAGTTATTTTAGGTTTATACTTGTCTCTGAAAGGATTTAGTCTCTGCAAAGATCTTTTTGCTACTCTCATATCTTTCCTTGGTCACACTTTATCACATTATTTCACTATGGGAAGTGAATCTTGCCCATTCCTATTGTGGAATGGAAATGATTCTTCAGCAGGTGTTACAGGTAACTAAACTGGCAGGTACAATAGAGTGTCATTAATGTGTACAGTGTAAGTGCAACTTTGTACCTCAATAATTGTAGATGCACACCGTATCCACAACCGAAGTTCTAGTGTCATTCCCACTATCCAATTTATGTTACTCCCATTCCCTTCCCCTACCCCTATTATTTTTCATAACTACCATGTTCTTCACAGAATCTGGGTTAGTTTTTTTGTGATTTGTTAGTTTGCTTTGGTTACTTAAATTCCATGTATAAGAGAGACTATCTGTGAATTATCTTTCACTTTCTAACTTGCCTCACCTAACAATCAATTTGTTTCATTCATGCTGTCACAAAAAGCAAGATTTTCACTGGGCATAATTCCTTCTAGTTCCGTCCACGAGTTTATCTGTTTTTGATTGCTGAATAATATCCCATTGTGTATATATGGCACATCTTTCTGATCCGGTCATCTATTTTTGAGCATTTGGGATGTTTCCAGGTTTTACCTATTGTAAATAGTGCTGCAATAAACATAGGGGTACAGGTGCTCTTTTGAATCAATGTTTTTGTGTCCTTTGGGTAGATCCCTTGGAGTAGAATTGCTGGGTCATCTGGTAGCTCCATTTTTAGTAGACTGAGGAACCTCCAGACAGCTTTCCATAGTGGTTGGACCAGTTTGCACTCCCACCAGCAATGTAGGAGAGTTCCTTTTTCACCACATCCTCGCCAACTTTTGTTGTTGTTTGTTTTTTTTTGACATGTGCCATTTTTTTAAAGATTTATTTATTTATACATACAAGAACTGGTGTACAGGGCACAGTTGTGGGGGGGTGAGAGGATTCACCAGTGACAGAGTGGGGAACAGAACAGACAAATCAAATGAAATACACTCCTGAGGGGAGCAGTGGGTGAGTCAGAGAGGTCTGCTGCGACATGTGGGTAGCTCCCTGGCCGGGGATTGAACTCGTGCTGCAGTGGCTGTGGAGAGCTTCATAGGTTGCATCTTACCCCTTGCACCACCAGGGAAGCCCCGATATGTGCCATTCTTACTGGTGTAAGGGGGTAGAAGGAATTATGCTCAGTGAAATAAGCCAGAAGGAAAAAGAAAAATATTGGTGGTTTCACTTATAGCAGGAATATAGGGGAACCAAATAAGACATCAGTGTAACAAAATAATAAAAGTACAAAACACAACAAAGCAAAAAATGACAATTATAAATCACAGATATACTGCAGGGGAGGAGGCGGGAGAGGGATCAGAGGGAGGGAGGAGCACAGGGGACTGAGGTGATGGTGCACGTGTACATTGGTGGAGGAAACTCTATGGGGACTACACCTAAGGGGGTGGGGGGGAAGCAAATATTGTTTAAAAATGAACAATGGGGGCCTCCTGGGTGGTGCAGTGGTTGAGTACCGGGCTGCGAAGCTGCCCGCAGCCTCTGTAGCGCCAGTTCGATCCCCAGCCGCCAGCAGCGAGGGTCTCACATGGTGCACAGACATCTCCTGTGGCGCCCGCTGCTCCCCTCAGCATTGTACTTTGGTCCCTCTGCCTGTTCTGCTCCCTACTCTGGCTCTGGTGAATTCTCTCACCCTCCTGCGCTTCTGACTGTACCCAGTGCTTGCATAAATAAATAAATAAATAAATAAACAAACAAATAAATAAATAAATCTTTTAAAAAAATGAACAGTGGTACATCTAGACAATGGAATATGACTCAGTGTTAAAAAGAAATGTACTATCAAGCAATGCAAAATATAGAGGAAACGTAAATGTGTATTACTTAGTAAAAGGAGCCAATCTTATTTCAATTATATGAAATTTTGGAAAAGGCAAAACTATGAAGACAATATTCCATTGTAAAAAATAAAAAAAATAACATAAAAAAGCAAGATTTTATCTTGTTTAATAGCAGAGTAGTATTCCATTGAGTATGTATACCACTAATTCTTTATCCAATCATCTATCAGGGGTATTAGATGGTTTTATGTCTTGGCTATTGTGAATGCATTGCTGTGAGCATAGGAATGCATATATATTTTTTGAATTAGGGTTTTCATATTCTTTTTTAATTTTTTTTAAAGATTTATTTATACAAGAACTGGGGTACAGACCAGAAGTGTGGGGGGGTGTTGAGAGAATTCACCAGAGACAGAGCGGGGAGCAGAACAGGCAGAAGGACTGAAGACACTGCTGAGGGGAGCAGCGGGTGAGACAGGAGAGGTCTGCTTCACCATGTGGGTTTCTCCTTGGTGGCCAGGAATCAAACACGCGCTGCAGAGGCTGCAGACAGCTTCACAGCGCGGCACTCAACCCTTGCACCACTGGGAGGTCCTGTTTACATATTCTTTGGAGAAATATCTAAAAGTGGTTTTGTTAGGTTATAGGGCACTTCTATTTTTAGATTTTTAAGGTATCTCCATACTGTTTTCCACAGGGGCTGCACCAATTTACATTTCCACCTCAAAAAATGTGAGTACCTTTTTCTCTGCGTCCTCACTAACACATGCTGTTTTTGATGTAGGCCATTCTCACAGGTGTGAGGTGATATGTCATTGGGGTTTTGACTTGCAGAAAAATGAAATTTGTTGGCCTTTGGGCCATTACAGTTTCATTCCTCAAATTTTTATTCTCAAACTTCTTCTTTTCCTCAGACCTATGATAGGGAAGTCAGCTTATTGAATTACCATGACTACTGGAAAGCAGTGTTCACATGACATAAATGAGTATGTGGCTGTGAGGGTCCTGGCAGTGGGCATATGGGATTTGGTCAAAACACCCACCAAATCTCTGACACTGCAATTATCCCTTGTTCATTCATAATATAACTCATATGTGTATTTTCCTTCTCCATTTTTTACTTAATCACTGACTCCAAAGTTCTTTTTGGGTTTTATTATTTTTCATAAGGAATTAATATTTTTGGGTGGTTTTTGGCTCCCAAAAATATTGAGAAGCTTACAGACATTTTCTATATACTCTCTCCCTCCTCACATACATAGTGCCCCTACTGTCAACATTATTTCTCAGAGGGGTACTTTTGTTAACAACTGATGAACCTATATCAACATGCCATAATGAATCAAACTCCACAGTTTACATTAGGGTTCACACTTGGTGGTGTAAATTCTATTGGTTTGGACAAATGTATGACATACATCTATCATTATATCATGCAGAATCTTTTCATTGTCCTAAAAATATTCTGTACTCTGCCAATTCCGTCCCATCCCCAATCTCTGACAACCTCCGACCATTTTATTCTCTCCATAGTTTTGCATTTTCCAGAATGCCATATAATTGAAGTCAGATTGGCTTCTTTTCCTAAGTAATACACATTTATGGTTCCTCTATATTTTCATTGCTTGATAGTACATTTCTTTTTAACACTGAGTCATATTCCATTGTCTTGATATGCCATAGTTTATCCATTCACGTTATGAACGATATCTTGTTGCTTTCAAGTTTTGACAATTATGAATAAAAATGCTAATGTGCTAGCAAGTTTTTGTGGGGCATGCATTTTTAGCTCCTTTGGAGTGATTTCTGGGCTGTTCATTGAGAACTTGTTTACCTTTTATAAGAAGGCTTGCAGGCTGACAATCCCTCTTCCTCTTTCATTTTTCTAACTTTCCTTAATTGGAAAATACCCTTTACTTTTATGTACTGATGTGATTAGATAGGGTCCACCTGGAAAATCCAGAATAATCTCTCCTTCTCAAAGAATAATCTCTATATCCTTGATCACATCTACAGAATTCATTCTTACTTGGACTGGCTATTATAGGGGGCCATTATTCTCTTATCACAACAATATTTACTTGTGTTTGTATCTCAGTTTCTTCATCTGAGCAGTGATCCTCAGTTGTACTGTTAGTAAGATGCACTGGTAATAAAGATCAATTGGTGATGTGTGTACCCTTTGTATACTTCCAAGCTGTCACAGATATGAGAGAGAGATGAATACATTTGTTAATAAATAATATACATGTTAGTCATTCCAAATTTGACTTAACACTTATTTTGATGTGTCTGCGGTGACTAACAAAGGACCTAACACTCAATGTTTGCTGAGTGACTGCATGAATAGCTTCTTACTATTATTTTATTTGTGCCTATCCTACTTTTGTGGGATTCTAAGGTTGAACAATTTGTTATTGTCCCCTTGAAGAAATAGAATATAAAGCTGCAGGACCCTTGGAAGCTTTCTGTGCAAAGGAGGAGTGCTGAGATTTAAACTTCATTAACTTCCCCCCAAAATCCACCTCAAACTCTTAGTTAAATTTTTTCTTTTTCTGTTTTGCTACTCAGTGACCCCTTTGATTTGCTCTTATACTTTATTCCTGTCGTGTGTGTGTGTGTGTGTGTGTGTGTGTGTGTTGCTTAAATTGGCTTAAACTATCATTTAATAGATTTCCTACTGTCTCTGGCTCGGTGGGACATAACTGTGTAAGAAATTAATGCACAATTAATATATTTAACATACATTTATTGAGTGCCCTCAACATGCCAGGCATTGGGAACTGTGGGCACTTGATACCATATGTTACATTTCACAAGGTACTTGATTCTACCTGAGCAAAAGATAAATCCTAAGGGTAATTGGTCTCAGGCAGACCATCTACCTAATGCAGCCAGACAAAACTAGTTGGAACAGAATTATAACTGTAAGAAGATGATATGTCTCAAAAATCCAACTAGCGGAAGTATAAGCAAATATATGAAAGAGAAGTAGCTAAAGCTAGAGAATTTGAAGCAAGACAGGCATTATAGCTGTGAAGAATGGGTTGGGGGAACCCAAGTCAGAATTCAGGTGCTGACCCCCTGGAGACTCAGGTGAATTTAGGCCACATGGCAAATATGTGTGGTGCCTAAGGGCACAGGGCAACATGCCAGCTCTGAAGTAACTCTTCATCAGTTCACCTTGAAATCTTAATTTGGCATCAAAATCTCTTTCCAAAGATTTTTTTTCATCAATCTTTTCTCATGTCAAGACAAACTTAGGTTATTAGTCTCTCACAGACATTGTGATGTTTGACACATATTGTATTACAAGGATAAATGGAATTATTAATAGAAATTCCAGGGAACTTGAAGGCTCCTGGGAAACATGTAAAATGAAGAAGACAGGATTATTTCATTTTATGGAAAGCCTTTTAACAAAGTCACGGGGAACTCACACCATGTACCCATGGCTGGATCTAACAGGGCACATTTTGTGTTTAGTATATGTTGGCATAGGATATATAATTGCTTGCTAAATAATTATGCTTTTATAGAGTTGAGGCGTTTTCATGGTTTTTTAAATCATGTTTTCCTATAAAAATCCTCAGAGTTATAAAAGGTAGCATTTCTTATTTTGCTTAGAGTTTGTTCTTACCATCATTGATTTATTCTCTTAACTCTCAATGCTGTTTGTTTTGTTCCTGAAGCTGTGCTATGTGTTGAGGATGCTAAGATGAATAGATCATAATCTCTGCCTTGTAGAAGTTTCTAACTGAGTGTGTGTGTGTGTGTGTGTGTGTGTGTGTGTGTGTGTCGGAGGGGGGGAGAGGTGGATATTACCGACTAGAGGGATGTTTCATGTCTGTTGAAAGAGACCATTTCGAAAGAAGGACATGTCTGCCTAGTGAGTCTGGAAAAGTCCCCAAAGGCTAATATTTTGGAGCTAGATCCTGAGAGTTAGTGGGAATTTGGCAGGCAAATAGAATTAGCATGAGAAAATAGTTACTTAATCACAGTAAACGGGGAAATGAGTTGGAGAGCAGCTAGTTCTAAGGACCTATAGATGAGGATTTTCAAGTAGTTTAGGTGTTTGGAATGAGGTGACTATCTAACAAAGCCTAAATAGTCTTGCAGTGAGGTCAGATTTCTTGACATTGGGTTCAAGTCTTTGATGCCACTGAGCTGCTTCCTCAGTGGCTTGCTTGGCAGTTTGCATCTTCACCTCAGTATCTGGCATTTCTTGAGTCCTCAAATGACAGGATGGATAGGAAACTGTTTAACTTATCTGAAGTTTCCTTTTTACTTTTGAACACACTGGCAAGATCCATTCAATTCCTTTTACTCTCTTTTATCTTCTCTTTCATACTCCTTTTCGTGCTTTAGTGTACACACACACATATGTACACACCTGTTACTTGACAGTATCCTCTGATTGACACACTGTTTATACACTCAAAAAATAATCCACACTCAAGGACTTAAAAGCTGGTTAATAAACACTCATAATAATCTGCTCTGGATATATAGGCTGGAGAAAATTTGAACAGAAAATCCTGGTTACAATGTTTAACATGCTCAAATACCACATTAAAAATTTCACTATTTTAACAATCATTTCTTGTTTGATTACCCTAAAGTAGAAATCCTGAGGAAGAAGCATAACATCTACTCCTTGGTTTCTTGTTCTTAGAACTGTTTTTCACTTGGCCAAAGCAAGAAAAATAAGAAATATCTACACATGAGAAATTACAATACAAGCCCTGTTGATTGACTTTAATTAAAAACTGAAAGTTTTCTACTATATTAAAGTGTGAAATAACTCTCTCTTTCTTCATCATGTTTTGGTTGTCAGTCATATAATCTGATGTTTAACTGGCCAGCTGATTTTTAGTGAGTTAGTTGTTTTAGTTACCCTGAGCAACAACCAGTATTTATAATCTTCATAGTTTTTAAAGATTTATTTTTATTTATGCATATAAGAACTGGAGTGTATTATAAAACTGGAGTGTAGGACAGAGGTTTAGGGGGTGAGATGATTCAACAGAGACATAGTGGGGAGCAGAACAGGAAGATCTACTGAAATGCACTGCTAGGGGAGCAGCAGGCAAGCAGGAGAGGTCTGCTGTGCCATGTTGGTTAGCTCCCTGGCAGGGGATTGAACTCATGCTGCAGTGGCTGCTGATAGCTTCATAGTGCTGAAGACATTTTGAATTCAGATTTGAGTAAGTTTCTTGGCTATTTTATGCACTATACTTATTTTAAACTGTACTTTTTGATCTGACTTTTCCAGGTACTGCCCCTTCCTTTCAGTTTGGTTGTCTTCCTTTATTATCTTATATTATATTCCATTCTCTCATAGTTTTGCTCTCAGTGGAGTGATGGAGCTCAATCTGTAAACCAAAACATGCTATTGAGTAGAAGCATGCGAACATTTTAGCTGTTCATTTGAAAACTCAGGGTTATGGCTGTCACAGTGGGAATCTTATCTACTAGCTGGACAGAGAGGAGTAGGTTTTCTGTTTATCTGCAGAGAAAATACTTGTCTCCAGCAAATGCATAGATGAAAAAAAGGAGAAGTTGACTATGGCTTCAAATTTTAGGGGCAGTTGGAGATTGCATGGGTCACTTTCAGATGGAAGAGCTTGGAATGAAATGTTCCTTTTGCACCCTGGTGGGTGCAAATTCCTTTTCCTTTCTCTGAAACACACATTAGAACTCAGATACCTGTGACCCTGAGATACTACTGTATTTCTATTGACACTTTGGCTTTATGTAGACTATCTGAAACGATTCCCATACAATGATCTTTCCAGCTGCTTCAGCTGCACACACAAAAATAGATGAATCACTTTCCTAACAAGGGTATTTTCTTAACAGCATGGATTGAGTAGGAGGGGTAGAAGGAGGTGGCAATGAAAAAAGAAACTTGATTGCTTCTGTTTGAAATAACTATCTGATTAAGACAACAGCAACAATAACAACAGCAACAAAGAGGAAAATATACTCTACCACCAAAAAACCCCACAACAATTTTCACTTTGGATGGACCATTTCCTTTGAAATGAAAAGAAAAAATGAAGCAGTTACACCATGGGTGTCCCTAGCACAAGATGTATCCAACCTATAACTTCTGATTACTCAGAAATTCACAGAAAGTAAATCCAGATAGGATTAAGAAAGCCCCTAGGGACTAACAAGTGGGAGAATATTTATTTGTTTGTACCAAATAGTTGACTGAATAATGAATAACTATTAGCTTAAATTGCAATAAACACAGTTATTTAACTGAGATCTAACAGTTTGCATTTTTCCCTTTTTCTCTTAAGTAGTCTCTGAACAGCTTCTAAGAAGCATCACACAAAGAGGATGAGTACCATCTCTATATCTGAATAGCAGCATTGTTTTTCAGCGATTTTCTGATCTTTCTTTTTGTTCTCTAAGATGACAATTGTTAGAATAGACAAAGATAACCCTCCCACCATTTTGACAGTAGTAAAGAATTCCTTTTACTACTTTCTCTAGAAATATTTACGTCTTTTATAATAAATAGTCATCTATGGAAACAGAAGACTGGATTCTAACTCAGAATTATGTTTTCTAACCACTGGTTATCTTTATTCTCCCCTCCACCCAAATCCTTTAGCAGGGACTATATTGACATTAAGGTTTATTAAGTTATGTCAGTGGACTCATTTTAAGTTTTCTTATTTATATTTTTCTAGGATATTCCACTAGAGAATAAACCATCTTGTACTTTTAAGTAGCACAACTTTTTTGTAAATTGGGAGGTGGAGGGATTAGAAAGGGTCTTTGGAAACATGGAGATTTTTATATATACAAGATTACAAGCAGAACAAGAGATCCTATTTTGGGCAGAAATTAGAGTTTAAAGGGAGCATTTGTGCACACAGACTTAGGATACTAGTTTATGTAGAATAAGGATAAGGTTATAATTTTATCTTTGTGTTTCCAGGTCTATCTAGAGTAATAATTTGAAATATTAATCCAGAATCATTTTCTCCCTGAATCTCCCTCTCTCTTCCTTTTGTCTGAAGGAAGGAGTATGAAAAGGCAGAAAGTAGAACGATCTTACTAACCTTTGAACTTTTTATTTACTAATTTATCTGTTATTCAAAAAACCCAGAGAAAAGAAAGAATTGGCAGGTTGGATAAAATCTTGGCCAGAGGTAACAGGCAGAGCTAGACTGAGACCTGTAAGTCTGGAAATAAAAGATGAGATCACACACATGAGCACCTGTGTGGTAGATCTGGACTGAGGCTCAGTCAGAAACCCTAATTGTCAGTGATCAGTGGCAAAATCTCTAAGGATAAATGGCTACAGGGGATATTTATGAAGATGGGACTGATGAATAATAAGCTCACAGGACAGGTCCATGTCCCAAGTGTACCTGAAAGCGTGAGACACAAGTCAGGTGGGATCACATGGATTGGAGCAGAGCACATCTCAGTGGCTTTCTGACAGGACCACACTTTGAAGATTAGATCAGTCCCAGGGTCTCTCTAAGACCCCACAAAGAGATAGAAAAGCATGAATGAGGCTGAGGTTAAGTTGTCTACCACCCTCTGGTACAGCCTCATCTTAAGATAAAAACCTAGTTGAATTTTATAAAGTATAGAGTGCATATGTCTTGCTCAATTGAATTTATGGGATGAGCTTTACTGCTCTTAGTAGGGTTAAAAAGAATAAGCACTCTTGGGCTTCCCTGGTGGCACAGGTGGTTGAGTGCCACACTGTGAAGCTGTCCGCAGCCTTTGCAGTGTGTGTTAAATCCCGGCCAGCAGGTGAGAATCCCACATGTCGAATCAGACCTCTCCTGTCTCGCCCGCTGCTCCCCTCAGCAGTGTATTTCATCAGTCTGCCTGTTCTGTTACCTGCTCTGTCTCTGGTGAATCCTCTCACCCTCCCATGCATCTGATCAGTACCCCGGTTCTTGTATAAATAAATAAATATTTTTAAAAAAAGAATAATCACTCTTATGATGACATGATGATACATTAACTTGGGTTTAGAAGGAAAGGAAAAAAGATTATTTTTCAATTAGGTGGCAGGTACACAGCCCATCCTGTTCTGTTGATCAGGGTCAGCCAATACCCTGAACTGCCTGTAGGAGACTAAAAGGATGAACAACAACTGAGTCAATACCTGAAACCCAAGTGTACCCCTGATGATGGTCTCAATAGATTTCCTTGAAAGTCAGCTGTCACACCAGTGAGACAATCACAGCAGGAGATCAGCATCAACAGTGGACTCGCTGGGGCCATAAGCAATTGTAGTATGCTGCAGCAGGAGGCAAAGGAAATGATCATTTGAAACACTTGAGTTTTCTCTAGGCTTGCATATGGAAGACTATAATATGTTATTTTTTAGCTTCTTTAATTAAGCTGCCATGATTATGACTAATTCAGGGGAGCGAGGCACACCAAGAGGGAAAAAACAGGCTTCTGGCTTATAAGCAAGTAATGCTTCAGACTATTTATTGGAAATATAGACTTGTTCGTATCTGCATTCAGACATTGTGGAGCAAATCATATAGGAGAAGCCTATATAAGATGAATGTCTTTAGATAAATCTCTTCCATGCTGTAGTGCTGAGTCTCTGAATGTCAGACGATTTATTTGGGTGAGTTGGTATTTAATTATTTTGTGTAGCAGATATAAATGCAGTTCATGTTGAGGTTGTTTGGTTTGTTGAGCCAAGCAAAGGCTTTGGGTTAAAAGTGCAAGGCTGTAGGCTGGGCTCCAAATTATAGGAGTCAGATAACCTTGGGCATGATCTGTATGACTGTTTTCTCACTTGTAAAATAGAGGTGACAGCAGTACATGGAGATGTAAAGGGGAACCATGAGTTTAGGCTGACATTTTGATCTCCAAGGAAGTACTATGGGAGTACAGGGGAAGAATAATTAATTATTCCTCAGGAATGAAATCAGAGTAACAATGGACTTTGATGTAAAGGTTGAGTAGAATTTATCTGGCAACAATAACAAAAGCAGCAGCAAAAGAGGCTGTTCCTACACAAGTGATGCATTAGACAGAACCACAGAGGTACACAGTTTAGACTGTGTGCCATGTGCACAGTGCCCTCCACCCCCCCATATCTCCTTGGCATTCACCATTCTGGTGACATGCATTCTCCTGGAGATGACATCCATCTCTCCATGCATGGGGCAGGCTGAAAGTGTTAGGGAGTGAAGCTACATCCAGGAGTAGTTCCTGGTCAGTGACACATAGACTGGAGAGTAAATACCACATCAAGCCAAGTAGAGCTGTAGACTGGATAATTGAGAGGAGTGTTCCTTACTGTCTGCCATGTGCCTCAGTGGATTGAACCTCAGTGACTCTAACAAAGCTACCTGCTTGGTAATAAACTCCTTGTTGTTTCTCTTTACATCCCTATTTTCCTTTCTACATGTTTACAGTGCTTTCTGGGAACATCTCACTACCAATAAAGCAATTGTACTTAAGTTGTGTCTCTGGATCTGCTTTCAGGGAAACAAACTTAAAGATGTTTGTGGGGAATGCAAGGTATAAGGAGAAGGTTGATGGGAAACTGTTGTTTGGAGGCAGATAGTGAAGACTAGTAGGACTTGTTAACTATTTGGATAATCTAAGCAGAGGAAATCTGAGTAGAGCCACTGAAAACATAAGTAGAGGATAAGTTAGACAAATAGCAGAAGCCAATTTCATGTTCACTTTTTAAAGAGATTCAGTTAGTTTAGGACAGTTTTAGATGCACAACAAAACTGATATTTCCCGTATGCCATCAAGCATTCCACATTATGGACATCATTCACCAGAGGGATACAATTATTATCGAGGATGAACCTACAGTGTCAGCCCTAAATAGCCAACATCCATATATTACTTTAGAGCTTACTCTTGATGTTGTGCATTCTGTGGTTTTGGACAAATTTATCTGGCAACAATAACAAAAGCAGCAGCAAAAGAGGCATCCATCGTTATATCATGCAGGGTATTTTCACTGCCCTAAAAATCTTCTGTGCTTTGCTTATTCACCACTTACCCAACTCATGGCTGCTTTACTGTTTCATAATTTTGTCTTTTTCTACCACATCATATAGTTGGAATCATGCCATCTGTAGTCTTTTTTAGCTTGACTTCATTCACTTAGGAATATGCACTTAAGTTTCTATGTCTTCTATGTCTTTTCATGACTTGATAGGGTTTTTTTTTTTTTTTTTTTTAGTGCTGAATAATACTCCCTCTGGGAGTTCTGATGCAGATGTAAGTGAGAGTCTCCAGATGGATCATTCCTGTATGAGTTTTGGGTCACTCCAACTAACCTCAATGACAAGACTATGCAAAGTAAGATCAGTCAGTCAGAATGCTGGAGATATTTCTTCATCCCCAATAAGGTAATTTTTTTTAATACCAAAATAGGCAAAAGTTTGCATTTATAGCTTATGGGCATTGTTTTATAAGAGATTAAATGATGGGTCTGTAAAAATTATAAAATATGAAATGTTATGGACTGATGTTATGTTAAATCCTATCTCAAATGTGACAGTATATGAACAAAAGACCTTTAGAGAGGCTAAATGAGCTCATTATAGTGGACCCTAATCCAAAATACTAAGTAGCTTTAGAAATTAAGGCACAGAGTCATGCAAGGGGAAAGTTATGTGAAGACACAGGGAGATGATCAGTAGCTACAGGCCAAGGAGAGGGGTTTCAAGAAAAAATAACACTACCAGTACCTTGATCTTGGGCTTCCAGCCTCTAGAACTGTGAGAAAATATATTTGTTATTTATGCAATTTGGAGTATGGTACTTTGCTGTGGCAGTCTTGACAAACTAGTGCAAAGGTACCAGAAAAATATTATATTTTCAAAACACTTAAGATTAAATAGACTGACTTCACTTGTTAAGTTAGTACCTTGGCTAACTGACTTATCCTTTCTGTGTCTTTATGCATTCCTGTAAAGGGGATTATAATGGCATCTACATCAGAGGGCTGTTGTGGAGATTAAATGAGATACTTCATGTAAAATCTTAGCTTAGTACGCAATCCATGAAATCCTCAAAAATGTCAACATGAGAAAAATAGCATCACCTCAAAAATCCATGTAAGTTTGGTTGGAATACCGCTCCCTTAACGAATGCACGGTTAAAACCCAAATTGCAAAGCCCCTGGAGAAGTCAGGCTCTGCAGCTGTCAATTTGAGGTGTGTGTTCCCAAGCCTCTGGCACTGCCCTTTATTCTTCTCTAGGATTGATTTCTGAAGCAGCCCTAAAGGCCACAAAGCAAGGTTGGCACTCCTGGATTGATTTTCTATGTTGACACAGCAGGCCAGGCCCTGTCTGGTTTATAAACTGATGCTATATTATTTCCAGGTCTCTTATGAAACTGAACCAGGAAAATCACTCGTACAGGATTGTTGGGAGTTTCTCTTATATATTTGTTTTTGGGAGAGGGCAGGCATGGAAGCAGTTGAAGGTGGGGGGTCAAGGAAGAGACTCAGAACAATTCCCTTTCTTCTCCTAATTCAGTATTTAGACATTTCAAAGTGTCACCACACTGAGAAAATACTGTTTAATTGGCAACATGATAGTTTTTTATATAAGACCCAGTTGAGGCTTGGGGTGCTATTTACTGTGATTATCACTTCCAAGGGCAATGCTTTGTTGTATTTTTCCTCCACAAGTAGTTATTTGTTGGTAACGGATTTCTGTAAGCCAAATTATATCCTCCCGTTAAGGATCATTTTGACTATGAGTCTACAATACCCTTTTCAGAAAGGGCTAATTATTATTGACAGGGATGATAGAGAGACAGATTTTCTCCATTCTGGACAAGGAAATAACCTCTTGTCCCAGTTTACTTTGCACAGATTTGAATCAGCATCCTTCGTTCTGTAAACCATGATAGAAATAAATAAGGGAAGTCTCATTTTATTCAAAGGCCGGAATGCCTATGATCATGTAATGTTTTAGAATTTAAAAGTGCATTGTTGATGGATTCCAGACCATTCTTAGGATTGCTCAGCATGAAGTGATCTGTAATTGTCTTACTTGTCCATTAAGGTAGAGAATCAAACTGGTAGCTTATGGTTGAAATAATTCTAATTATTTCAGAACTTAGGTCATTTATTAGAGTTTCAGTGTTTCTTTTGGTTGTATATGACCTTTATTTAATACTGATCGCAATCCAATTTCTTTATATTTATTCAAAATTGTTTCCAAGATAGTATTGGACTCAATTTTATTTATGGTGTTTTCAATGGTGAGTAGTATGATATTTCTAGTTCCACAAAATGCATACTTTTCTTTTTGAGGTAAGGTGAATTTACATTGTTTTATCTCACTGCCCTATAGCTCAATCATTATTCCCACACTTTTCTATTCCTCTCTGATTGTGGAGGCCTTCATTTCTATGTAATACTTTTTTGTTTATACTAGGCGATCTATGTAGGATATCTGCCCAGTTCCATGATATGTAGATTTATTCTTTTATCAATATCATCCTATGAGTGGAGCCTAAGAGAATATTTTCACATGTAAAAGTACCTATATATTCCTCAAAACAATTTATTTATTTTGAGCTGTTTATCCTTCCAGTTATAGTTATTAACATACATAATACTTGTAATTGCATGCATAATCCTTATATATTTTTAATTATAAACATTTTTATGAATTGTAGAAGGATGTCAGGTAAGAAAGTAAAAAAGATTCCTTGATTTTGAAAATCCCATTCGAGAATCAAATAATTTTACCATTGTATTTCTGGATCTTTTTCTGTCATTATAGATAATCTGCTTTCAAAGTAGTTTGAATATTTTGCTTTTACACAAATTTATAATAATATACATAAAAGGGTTTTCAATATATACCTATAGAACACCCTGTCTCATGGGCTAGGAACTAGGATGCCTCAGTGAGCAAGGCAGGTGGGAGCCACGAAGCACGTGGAGTTCTGTTTTAACAAACTTTGTATGTAACTTGATGGTTTAATGCCTTAGAATATGGTGACTACACCTGATAGGGGGATATCTTTTACTGTAAAATCACTAACAAGGATGTAAGACAGTGGTATTTCAATGAAGAAAACAATAATAAAAAAGAAAAGTCTCTCGTTCCTGGCCAAAAAAAATGAAAGAAAGAAAAAAGAATATGGAAAAACAAAGCAGATGAAAGGGGAGTGAGCAGTATTTGTGGAGTGTTGCAATTTTTTTTTTAATTTATATTTTTATATTTATATTTTTAGTTTATATTTATTTATTTATGCAAACAAGATCTGGGGTACAGGCCACAGATGCAGGGGGTGAGAGGATTCACCAGAGTGAGAGTGGGGAGCAGAACAGACAGACTGAGTGACATACACTGATGAGGGGAGCAGAGGGCGAGTCAGGAGAGGTCTGCTGTGCCAAGCAGGTACTCCCTGACAGGCTGGGGATTGAACTGGTGCTGCAGAGGCTGCAGATTGCTTCATAGAGTGGTGCTTAACCCACCAGGGAGGCCCTAGTGTTGCAAATTTAAATAGAATAGTGGAGCAGTTATTCTCACTATGTAATATTTAGGAGTTGTTCAAAAACTTGGTGTTAACAATTGTGTCTTGGTTTTTCTTGTCAACATATGAAGTTAACTTGGTTCTTTTGATTGCTCTTTAATGTTCTACAGTACTTTAATGCTTCTTTCTTGGAAACTGAATATAGAGAATTACAAACACATTGACAACATTTATTCATTAGGCATAGATGGCAAAACCCATATTAAGAATATACATTAATTGTCTTACATGATTGAAATATCTACAGATAATTTACTTTTATATAGACAATCAGTATATAATAGCTAAAAACAAACTAAAATATCACTGAGGTTCTATTTTTAAATCACAATTACAAAAATAAGAAGTGAACAGTAAAATAATAGCCAGCCCAATTTCATCATGTAGAAATAAAATCTAGATGTAGATTTTAGATATGATAAACTTTTGAATACTTAATTGTTACATATGTTATAATTATTGACTTCTAATTCCAATTTTAAGAATCCAAATTAATATTCAAAACTGTTTTAAGATCAGTTTGAATGCTACTCAAGCCCTATGAGATATAATAAAGTAATTAGAGTTAAATTCAGAAGTTGTGAAACACATATTTGAAAATAATATAGTTTAAAATCATGTACTCAAATGATACTCAAAATCTAGAAACACAATCAGCAAAATGGTAGAAAAATAGAACATTTAAAGAAAACATATATCAAGCAATATTTAAAATATATATGGCAGTTTGAACTAATATTTCTCCCTACTTCATAATTCAGTTGAAAAAAAGAAAATAAGCAGATATCATTACAAATGAAAAATTCTTTCCAATAGACTAGTATGGTATTTGTAACACAATCCATACATTAAAAATAAAATAAAGAATCCATATAAAATGAAGAGTTTCCAGAAAAATGCAAAATTACTAATATGGGCTCAAGAACAGCAAATAATCATAGTAGAACAATTATAAAAACTATATAGTAAAAAATATTCTCTTTGAGGATACTAAAATGCTTCTAGTTTTGACTTGACTGATTAAAGTCTCTATTTCTTACTAATTTTCTCAAATATGAAAAAGTAACTGGAAAAATAAGTAACAAAAATATAAATTCCATGCTTGGTTGAAACAAGCAGATTACTTGAATTCCTGACCAACAAAATAGGCTCAAGGGCTGCCTAAGTCAATGAATGTAAAATAAAAGTAGAGAAAGATGCAGGAAAAGATTGAGAGTGACTTCAGATGTAAAGCAGACATTTTTGGGGTAGATGGTGTGCACCTTTTGTAGGCAACATTTTTTCTTTGCAACAACTGGACCAAGGCCTTGCACTGTCCATGGGAACTTCTGTGGATGTGTGAGAAGAAGTAAGTTGCATAGGGAATTTTCACAGATAAAATGCACTTGCAGGTAGCAGGGAATCACTGAAGTAGAGTATATAGATAGGAAAATGCACATTGTAAAGCAGTTCTGCAGGGCTGATCTTGGCAGACTAGGGGTAAGTCTGAAAAACATGCAATTGTTTCAGTTTTACTGGCCTGGAACATAACTGTCCCTTCTTTACATATTCTGAAAGTAACTGAACCTAGATTTAAGTGAAAAGGAAAGAGAAGTGTTAAAAGGGATGTTTACAAAGATACGATTACAGAAAAGAAGGGAAAGAGCAGAAAGCAAGTGGCAGACACTGATCACCCTCTAGAAAACAAAATTTTCATAGAACAGTGAAAGTTGTTACTAGATATATCATGTGGGATTGACATCTGACTTGAAGTTATTATTTTCACAAAACAAAGGACAATGTAGATATATAAGTTTAGGAAAGATATGCAAGGGCTATAGAAAGAAATATGAATACAGTGTTCAG